AACGATTTTAACCCTAGAAAGATAACCATATGACAACGTACGTAAAAGATAACCATACGCTTCAGAGGCGTATGCTTTTCTAAGGCGTCAATTTTATACTAACAATGGATATTTATTTAAGTTAATCTAGTCATTTTAAAGGTTTGGCATTATTGTAAAAATAAAATGCATTTATATTATATTTTTTTATATTTTAAGTAATTTTAAACTTAAATCACTAGACCTCTATGAAAAATTAACAAAAATCAACAGTCTTCGCAGGCGCCTCTGCGACGTAGGTTATCTTTCTCGGGTTAAAGTGTCCGAAATAAAAATTGCAGGAGAAAAATAACGACAACGTAACGGAAAGGTGGAAACGCTTTATACCGACGTACGTCTGGATAAACATGCGCGACATAATGAAAGCAAACCTAGAAAATATATAATGGTCAAATGTAGAGTAATGCGGCATAATGCAATACTTTCGTCGGCGCAGGGATTTGTGTTCGTGAGATTAGCTGGCGTGAGGGGCTCGTTGGGCGAACGAAACAAATCGCCACGTTTACGACTTGCATCAGAGGCAATTCCCGATTGATGCGTGATTCTCCTAGGTCCGACGTGGAGAATCGGGTCGCCTCGAGCGTGCCACGAAGCGGTCACCGTTGGAAAAATTGCTCCCAATCAATCACGAAAATTGCCACGAAAACAGCGCGCGCTCGCGCGTTTCCCGATAAAATCGCGTAAAATCTCGAAGTGTGACTGCATATAATGTACATGTTTATAACGCGGGCTCCCGCGTTTCAGCGGAAAGAAACTCGTAACTGGTATTAACCATCCCCGCCGTGGCTGGGTTCATATTAGTCATCGGCCGAGGAAAGATGGAATTCATAAGAATGAAAAATTACGCGTGCGAGCCGGGACGACTCCAAGAAACGCGGAGGAAATAGCTTACGCGGAAGGTGGAAAAAAAATTGAGCGTGGCGAAGCATAAAACGAAAGTAGGAATAATACGATGCTTTGAAACGTTTAAAGAATTCTCGCAGTCTAATATTAAAGTCAGTTCGCGGAATTCGTCTTCGATTATTTCTTGGTTCCTCGAACAACTCCGAGTACCGTTCAATCACGCAATTATTAGTTCTAGTTTAGTTCGTTGTTTAATTTTCATTTGATTCTGTTCCAGTATGAAGTGGAGACATTTATTTAAAGTTGTCACGTTGATCTTCATCGAATCTTCTTATAAAATTACGAGTATTCATTTTATTTTGTTATATTATAGTTCAGCTCCATCAAATTGTGATAATAGTAGGTTGGATAGTTTTCTGAAACTACTTCTTTGCAATGAATGTACTACAGATTTTATACATTCGTATCTGAAAATGAACGGATGAAATACAAAGCAGAGATCCTGAGATGAATTTAGGAATATTCTTCTAGTATGAAATTGTTAAGAACATGTGTTTCTTGAAATTGACAAAGAAAATTTTTATTTTCGATTCGAGATCGATCGAGATCTATCTAGCATTAGTGATTAGGGGTGAAACTATTCCTCAAAGTTTTAGCAGCACTTTCAAAACTGGCATACATTATAGCAGTACAATTATGACATACCACGGAAATAGTTTATTAGTCCGTATTATATTGGACCTCAAAAGTATGAACTTTTTAACACAACTTGCACACGTGCCAGTCTCTCATCCCTAACCAGGAAAATTTGGTTTTTCTAAATAAAATTTTTCGTTAAAACTTTCACACTCTTCACTGACGCTCTTGACTGGATACGAACCTGAGAGTACTCTTTGCTAAATGTCGCTTTTGCTCTTGAAAGTAAAACTCGCAGAAGTCTGCTCTAGTGAATGCGAGCGAGAGCTCGATTTTAGAGAGTATATACCACCTACATATATACATATTTTTATATATACATATTTTACGTTCCAAGATAATTTTCATATCAACAAAGTTTAGATTTAAAAAATTATTATGTTACAAAAAGATATTTAAAAAAGATTGTCTATAAAATGGAGATACTATAAGTCAGAGAAATTATTTTAGATTTACAGTTCAAATGGCATCGAGTGCAAAGTGGGTTAACAAGTTTATACTCGAATAAAAAAAAAGTGACGCGAACATCGGTTGAATTCATGTCCTCGCGAAATTTGCAACAAATAACAAAATGGATCACTTTTGAGAAAATCGTCTTTGTTGAAATGCGACTGTGGCAATGAACGGTACGACTATAAACGAGTTTGTGCCAAAAACAGAAGCATAACGAAGACGGGGAGACAAACGTTCGCGTGTAAAGAAAATCCGACATTTGATATGCGCCAACCAAATAGTTCGCAAAACGTTACGAGTTCTCGACTAGCGTAAGTAATAACGGCGAAACCTTTTGCGAAAACAACGAGATGCATGCACGGCCCAAGAAATCGCGTATTCAGTGGGTTCGTGGGACGGTGTTCGGTATCCCCGGAAAGTTCGTTAAGGGGGAGACTGTTTCGGTTCGTCGGGCCGCAACGAGGCATTAATTTTCCAGGATGTTAATACGGGGTGGCGCGAGGGTAGCTTGGTCCGGTGGCTGGTCGAGGAAAGGCCGGGCCGACTTTTACTCACGTGGACGGGAGCGGCGTTGTCGGGGAAATCAGAGGCAAAAGGCGAGAGCGCCGGCCGCGGCCGTTTGAAGCTGGACGTAGCTGTCAGCCTATGAGGAACAATTTCCAGGTGACAGTGTTACGTTAGCGCCACCCGTGCTCTCGCTGCTCGCGCTAGTAAATAGTATTAGCAAGTCAACTAGCGCTTTGCTCTCCGGGTACTTACTTCTTGAGATTCCAGTTAATTTATACAAGTGGCACGCTGTAATGCAGTTACACAGTTACCGGGGTTACAAGTTAGTTTTAGTTTCGACCCGACTGCCTTCTTAACCCGGGCGAACGACGAAGAAGCCTCGCGTCGCCGGGCTTCGCGACGGAACAGGGAAGAAACGACCGAGGGGAACGTTCCGTCGAGAGCGTCGAACATCGTTGAACAGCGTCACGGCTGCGTTTGGCGAAACGGTAATTTTGTAAAGACAGGGACGCGATGCCTCTCGCGTCGCGTGACGTACCAAGAGTTTCGGTTATTATGCAACAGATACGGCTAATTTCAGCAAGGCGCCGCGCGGAGCCGAGCGGAGCCGCGACGTCGAGTTGCTGGAAAACGAGCCGAGTGCAGCACGAGACGATTCAACATTTACGGACTGTTGCCGAGTCAACGTTCCGTCAGTTATTTCTGCGTTCCCGACGGAATTAACAGTTCCGGAACCGATGGTCGACTGCAAAAATTTCCCAGCTATTTCACCGGCCCTCTTCAAACAGCCGCCGAATTGCTGACTACTTAGATAGATGTAGATTTAGCTAGGAGTCGTTACGATCCGTGCCGTACGTAGTGTGGTATCGTCAACAGTAATTAGGAAACTTGGTTACCATCGATTTGTTATGAATTTTCTACAGAAGGTTATTTCAAGGTCAACATGTCTACGTATTTCAAATGAATTTCTCGAGCCCGTAATTCAACGATGATAAAAATATGTATAATAGAATGTAAATATTTTGGGTAAAAATAGAGAAAGATTCGGTTTCCGAGTTCCATTTAATTTGTCACGAATTTTCGGCACATGATCGTTTCAAAGTCAACCTATTCGCATGGTTAATATGTATCCTTTATCGTCAACAACTCTGATAAAAAGTAGTCGTTATTATCGACTATAATTATTTCTGACAAAAATAAGAAAACATTCGATTTCTCAATTCCCTTTGAATTGTCATGAATTTTCCACAAATAGTCATCGCGAGATCGACGTATTTACATATTTAAAATCTACATTTTATCGCCAACAATCAGACAATGATAAAAACACGTTGCTATAGAAAATTGTCAAAGAATCGAAAAGGCCGCGAGGGGGAAAAATAAGAAATTTTTCTTCATATACATTTTTAAAGTTTCAGAACTGACGAATGCATCCAATTGAATAAGATAGACGGAACATTCCGTACATCCGTTACGTTTATGTGTCTAGAAATTAGCATAGCTCTAGAATGGTGGAATGAAACAGTTCGAGGATGTGCTTTGCCAGTCACGGAACTTCTTTCCCTGGTCAATCATTCGGAATCGTGCCTGCGCCGTGCATTGCTTTCTGGAAGAACGAGGAGCAAAAGGGGAACTCGGTTGAGGAACGCGTGGCATTGTTCTCTTCAATCAAACACCGAGGGATTCCGGGGCGATTCTCTGGGTTTGCAACACGATTTCCGTTTCTCTCCATTTCGTCATAAAGAAAATTCTCCGATCAAATAAATTCCTGGCACCCGGTATTGGACGAGAGAATTGATCAATCTGCGATTTCACTTATCTCGACGGTTTAGTATTTTGAAGCTGCGAATGTTGTCGGTCTACACTTCCTTCAAATTGTAGAACGCGTTTCCTTCGTGCCGAGCTCGGTTCCCAAAAGAAACCAATTTCTAGAAATACCTTCGTGGGTACTTGCGAAGCCGAACGTAACTCGAACGTAAAACAGAACCTTTAAAAATAACACAATATGTAGTGAATAATTATAGAAATTCTATACAACGTAATGAACTTAACGCTGTTTCGATCAAAGGGGTTAAAATTTAAAATAAAAACCGGTTAAACTTTTAATTTCACGCTATTTTTGTGAAACGTTTCAAAAGATATGTTTCATGAACATGTTTATTACATTTATTTTTATTGCTATGTTCACGAAATTTTATATTCAAAATTACTTTCCAAGTACAATTATTTTTCCTCCTACAATGATTATAAAATTAATTTCATACAAACAATGTTAAAATAGTGTTAAAACAATGCGGCACACTTACCAGATTTAAGTTTTGTACTTCTTAACTGCCAGTTATGAACAATTTTATTGGACAGATTTCATAGAACGAGGTAATTAATCTTGGTTAAAATAATGAATTGCAACGTCAATTTTAATCAATAAATGATTACAACAAATAATATGTAATTACAGAGAATAAATGTTGAACGCCGCAAAGAAGTTTACAGGCAGGGCGAAGATAAAAGGCCCGGCTTCATTAATCATTTTATCGATTCGCCTCTTTACGTTAATTCGTAAGGAACTATCAATCTTGCAAGACATGACAACGGGTTTGTCGCACCGACATCCTTAATTGAATCTCCCGAGAAGTGTAACATTTAGTCATCGAATTTAATCTGCCCTGCACACGTTCGACAGCGCAATATCGCACGTAGTTTTCGTAATAATTTTTTAAGCTCATATATTTTAAGCTCATATATTATACTAATATATTTAGTACTCTAAACTGCAGAATGCCAACAAATTCAGGAAAAAATCACCGCATTGCATTCGATCTTTTCAGTTTGTTTTTTATTGAATAGACTGCTTGGATTTATAAACTTTTCACGATGTGTAACGTGTAGGCGACACTAATTTGAAACTAGCTTTCAAAGTTCATTTTTACTGTAATATATACAAAATATATGAAATGCCATCTACTATAATAAGTTTCAGCTTTATTAATTACAGAATTCTGATCTTGTGGGAATTTTTACGATTGGTTTTCATCACTCGACGCGTTAATTAAATTACTTCGATTTTGTTGAGAACTTCTTAGTACGGTGTACACGGTGTACAAAATTGCACAAATGTGCACATAACTTCGGAATACGAGATTCAAAAGATATCATGGATAGCTGATCTCGAACTAAATCTTCTTGTCCGTTCGAACCGAAAGATCGATTCCACTTTCGATATCTGGAATTGAAATAGAAGCGCTGAGAGCCTCGGACGTGACGCGTGTAAATTTCTGCGACGCGATAGAACATGCTATCCCCGCCCCCAACCACATAAAATCGCCTGTGCAAAGAGCCGAACCAAGATCGTGGTTATCAAGGCATTCGAACGCCTTTATCTATCGATGGATAAATATCGTGGAGATGGGGTGCCACCGAAAAATGTTACGGGACACAATTCATTGCCGTCGAAGGAATCCTCCCCCTTCCCAAGGGATGAAATCACGAGAAAAACTCGAGAGTCGCTTACAGTGGCGAACACGTCTTATCGATTCCATTTTTTAGGGCCTATGATGGATCGATGATTAATAAACGTTGCTTTTTTGCCTGGATCATTGAGACGGATGATACTTCCGTAGTCTTAGAGACCTTTCTCGAGAAACATTTTGGATTTTTATGACGCTATTCAAATATCGTTTGTATAAAATAAATTAATAATAAGTTTGTGTAATATAAAATAAATTATATATTTAAATATAAAATATTTTATATTTAAATATATTTTATATAATATATTTTATATTTAAATATATAATTTATTTTATATTTAAAACCTTAGACCTAAAACATTGAGGTTATATATTATATAACCTACGATAAGATATTATAATTATATTTATTACTCACTTGTATTTCTCAACTTATATCGTTCGATTAATTTTATTTATAAGTACATCAATTTTGAACTTCACTCAGAATCGTTGATTTCAAGGAAGTATGCCAGATAGAGGGAAATTTGACGTAAGAAATGCTGCGTGCACGTCATTGAAAAATTATAACTCGATGACAGACGATCGATAACTCTCTCTGATACGACCATGTCAATATTATCGAGTGTTTAACGAGAAATTGACGACTCAGTTTCACCGCAATCGTTCGACCACGAAAGTATTAATGATTAATCGAATCGCAATTATTTTATACTTACGATTCGATTCACGCTACCAAAGATGAATGAGATGGGAACGTATACACAAACATGTCTGACAGAAGTCGAAACGGAATCGCTGGTTGGCACGCGACTCTCTTTCATTTTTACTAAATAATGCAGACGCGACATAATCGGAGACGTGTATCGAACTCGTAAATTCGTTTTTATAATGGTCACGATGGGGAGCAAATATTATTCTGGTTTGGTTGCGTGTACGTGACGAAAGAACGGAAAATTGTGCTAGATTACATTTGAAAAGGATTTATAAGTCGGTTGTGTTAAGAGACTGTCCGTAATAAATAATAAATTAAATAATGGCCATACTTGAAAATAATCAGTATTCTGATTTATTACCTTAGTGATATTTGCTTCCATCTTTCATCACATTTTGTCATTGCTGAAAAGACGGAAAGTGCTAATTTTTTTTGTATGCTGTAAATTGAAATCATTATTTTATTATACTAGAATATCAATACGTATCGACCACAATGGACTTATGGTTCGACAGCAAAAACAAATCATTGTTATTAGAACCATGTAAAAAAAAAGATAGTACACAATGTGTTAATATTTAACCCTTTCGCTACGGCGGTTCAGTCCGCCGTAGCGCCACTCCTGAACGGAACCACCCGCCGAAATTGTGCACATTGCGCGTGGATAGTGTATTTGGGAAGAAAAGGGATTTTTCTTTAAAACAATATAGTTATAATTTCTGCATAAGGTATAAAGTTATTTAATAGGTAAAAAAAGTTTCATTAACAATGGAAAAAGTGAAGAAATAATATATAATATACAGTAATAAAATAAAACATAATATTCATAATACAAAACATAATACATAATAATTAGTCCTAAAGTTAGTACTTTCGATTTTCTATCCCTTTATGACATGTAACACAATAATAATGGGAAATGCAGGTAGAACAAATATAACTTGAATGGTGTGTCGTTTATTTCGGACTGTCGTTTGTTTGTTTCGTCAAAAGATTCACGCAATAGTAACAAGAGGCGATTTTACCAGCATGTCGGATATATCCGGCGTTCGTCCCCAGAGGGCGATCATGTGGATGTCGGATATATCCGGCGTTCGGCTCCGCGAGTGTTCATATGGATGACGGATATATCCGTCGTTCGGAGCGAAAGGGTTAA